GACTGTGGCCTGGACCGAACGCCTAATTAGAAGTGAGCGGGGTTACTTGTGGTTTCCTCTGCAGCCCAACATCGATGCCGTTAGGGCTTCTCGTGTTCGATCTCCCCAGCCAGAGGTCCTGCGGCGCAGGCAAAACCAGCTCACAAGCAGAGGGCTGGGTGAGGTCAGGTTCTCAGGCAGCTTTTTTGGGGGGCGGGGAGTCAATCCCAGCTGCTAAACTTGGAGGAGGGAGCTGGAAACCTCTCCCATCTCCTGCTGGGTGGCGAGGCAAGCTGGTCCGCAGCAGGGCTGCCTCAGCTGTGGGAACCCGAGCTTGCCGTCAGCTTTGCCTCCCCTCTCCCGCTCAGCTTTTGCGAATTGTGCCGAGGGTATCACTCGCCTGCTTGAGGCTGACGAGCCTTTAAGGAAATGTTTTTGTTTATGCAGCGCTGCCAGATTTCCTATGCTTCTTGGCACGGGGTCATAGCTTTCATGCCTCCTTGTCCATCTTTATTAACACCAATTTCTTTTTATCACTGTGCAGCGCCGTGGAGTTTCTCCACGGGTTTTATGTTCCAGCCAGACTGTGTGTAAATTCTCAGCAATGCTACCAACAATGCCAGAAACGGACACTTTTTCAAGCGGATGCTGTTTCTGGTTAAGGGATCCATCAACACGAGCCAGGCCCATGGTTTCTAAGGACAGTTGTTTAATCCTGCCCCCAGATCTGGGACTTTTAAGCTGTTCTTAGATATGTTTTCTTTTCTGTCTAGTAGCCATTGTCTCTACGCCCTCTTTAAAGCCAAAAAAATGTGCGAAGTGAACCTGGGGAAGGGGTGCCAGAAGTGGGGAACAAGGACAAGGTCCCCGCCTGTCGCCTCTTCGGCTCTCCCCAGGGGGAACGCCGCCCTCCCCTCCAGCTCAAGGAGCCGCGGGCTCAAATCCTGCTGTTCCCCTGGGGACAGTCCTGCCCTGCCAGGATCAGGATGGAGCCTGGGGACTGACATGCCAGGGTGTTCAGAAACGCACACCGTCCCACACGTAACGTCTCCCTTTTTTCTGCTTCCCTCAGTGACCAGGGGTTTAAGCACTGCAGCCCTTGGATGCTCCTCTCCCCGCACACGGCAGGAGCAGACCCACAGCAAGCACGACACAGGTCACGTCTCGTCTCCAATGCAAGACCTTTATGCAGGTAAGAATAATTTTTGTATATCAAATGCTAGGAATTTCCTGTGAATGAGAGGTATCAGTTAAAGGAAAGTAGGCTTAACTAAATACTCTGCATGCATAATTGCAGATAAACATAGGGTGCAACATATATTGCTCAATAAAAAGCATGCGAGAGACTTCTGATGATGAGTGATCTGCAGCAAAGCAGCTCAGAAACTGCTTTGTTTTTTTTTTAAATGAAATTTTTTGAATCCCTTCTCCCCATAGTAGGTATCTTTGCATATTTCTTAAAGGGCAAAGGAAAAAAAAGCTCACAATGAGTCATTAAACTTTCAAATGAGTCATCTGGCTTTCAGTAAAGCATGTGTAAAAATATTACTAATTTACAAACAATATCCAGTGTAATACAATGGGTCCAAAAAAGATGAATCTAAAAATGAGGCAATACCATAAAAGACACAAGGTCAGGTCAAATTCGGCCAAGAGATCAACCAATACAAATGTTCCCATGGCTGGTTTTCTTCCTTTTTTCTTTTTTCTGTGTAAACCCTCAGAGAATACTTTTTATACAAATAAATATTGCCTATGCGGTGCTAGCAACACAAACAGGCGAATGCCTTAGGGAGCAGAGGGGATCCTAGCAGGCAGCAGAAGTAAACACAAATGAAACGAGTGTATTTTTTCTGTTAAAACTGCAATGCAAAAACTAAACTACTAGAATAAATACTGAAAAGTAAACTCCATTTAAAAATGCTCAGTTGAAACACTCTCAAGCACCGAAGCACAGCTGGACGTGCATAAAGCAAAATATGACACGTGTGTCCAGCTGATAGGTCAGACTAAAAAGTGGGTTTAATAACAGGTAAGGACAATTCAGGTTTGATTTTACTTTTACTGTGCCTCCCCTCATGAAAGAAACCAATCTCTGCACAAAAAATATTGTCTCTTCATTTCCGATTTGTTTGCTTATTTTGCATACCTGCCATAATTTTGGCAATTTCACTGCATCTGTCTGTCATATATTCTTTCATAAACATCTTTAGAGTTGGGAAAATGAGAAACTCGGAAAATTTTTTAAAAGTAACTCGGGGATATAATATTAAAGAGAGGCCTCTAGCAGAATTTGGTTATTTCTACCCCTCTTTGCATTAGGTTTTAAAAGGTTGAAACTGCCTGCTTGTCTTTTTGATAAATGGATGAAACTCTGAAAGACCGAGTCGTGTTACCAAAGAGCGGGGGTGAGCAAATGGGACCGGAGGTGCCCGCGAGGGCAGACCTGGAGGCCACATCTCCCAGGCCAAAACCTCCTTACCTGGGGACTCCTCGGGCTGCCAGCCAGGCAGGGAGAAAGGGGCCAGGAGCTGCAGCCCTCGCACACCCGTGGAACAAGGGAGTACCCTAGGCAGACCTTCCCTCCAGAGAGAAGACTCACTTTCGCTCTGCAGCACCGCAAAAGATAGTGACAGACCGCACACATGTGTTTAAAAAACAGTATTGTTTTTAAAGATTGGGATTTGCAGTTTTGGAGTTTCCTCCTCTGCAATTCATATTCAAGGATGACCCAAGTGCCCATTAACAATCAAACCACTGTGCAGCAACCCGGGAGCCTCAGCAATTATGAAGATAATGGTGCCCTCCTCCTCCTCCTCTGCCTCCTCTCCTGAGGAATGGGGGAAGGGCAGGGAGCACAGGGAAAAGAAAATCAGCAAATAGAATGATAATGTCATTCCCTCTTACTGACAGCAACGGAAAGCTGCAATTAGACTTCTCTGATCAAAATGCTAGATACAATTCCATAGGATTTTTAAAGTAGATCTAAAGCACGAGAAATACTTGGTTCATCTTTACAGAGAAGTCACCTGCTTGTAAAACGCAGCGCACGTGTAAGGTGTTTGTGCGCAGAGGCAGCGTACGGAGCCGTCTTTACCCTTTGTGGGAGCTGCCCACAGCACCCCGGTGCGATGTAACCCCAGGGGCGAGATCATGTACATCTGCATCTGCCCAGGGTATTTAGAGGGCTCCATCACTGCAGGGTCCAAGCACCCACAGGAACTCGTGAATTTTCCTTGCAGCACCCAAACCTGGGCAGAGCAGTGCCGCTGCCCCTGTTACAGGCTGCGTCTACGCTAGCGAGCTGCGCAGCACAGAACGAGCGGAGCTGCTGGGAGGTCTCGCTCCACCCGAAGTCCAGCCTGGTCCCAGGGACCAAACACGGGTGTGTGGTGGGGGAGCACTCGGTGCGCTCCCAGAGGGTACCTCTCTAGTTTCGTCTGAAAGGAATCCCATTTGCAGGCTGAGACCCCAGCATGCTAAGCAGGGATCATCAGGATCACTTCCAAAGCGCTCTCCTGATCCAAACTGAAGCAGTGATGCAGTGGCACCTCCTGCCTTGTCCGAGGGCTGGGAGACACCTGTCATGGGCGAGGGAAAAGTCTTAGGCCAGGAGCAGCCCGCTCTTCTATCATCGGCTCTATACTAAAATTTCCACATCAGTTACACAATGTGTATAACACAAGAAGAGGGAGTGGATCTTTTAGTTGAAACTATCAATTTCCTCCCTCTTTCTTTAATCCCTTCCTTTCAGTGCTCTCTGCAGCAAGGTGCTATTCACCCCTAATACTACTGGTTCACTGCTGCGTTACTGCTGCTCTACACTGGTGTAATTCAAGGAATTTACAGCAGGGCAGAAAAGAATCAGCCCCTGAAGTAAGGCAATACAGCTCCAAAAGCCTTTGGCAGTCTCTTGCAAAGTGCTGCAGCCAGCCAGGACCCGGTTTCCTCTGCAGGGGGGACAATACAGAGCAATAAGACCAACCATCAGATGCCAAAGTGTGGTGACTTAGAGCTCAGACACTTGGAAGAGGTTCCACCAGATGCTTTTAGGGGCTCAGATTTTTTTCTGAAGCTGAAATACAGCTATTTGGAAAGCAGCTGCATCACAACATTACAGCAATGGTACATACTTACCCTCTGAAGGTCACTCACTGCAACCTATTGTGTTATCTTGCGTGATGAGGAACTCAGGCAACCATCAATACTCACTTTGGAATCGGCACCCGAATTATTGTCCCATCCACTTCTGGGTTCAGGTTCATGCCGCTCTCCCTTATAGCCTTCGTAGCTGCAGCTGTGCTCTGTAAAACAGATCAAAAGGTAAAGAGAATTAGGAAATAATCATTCCCATATGCCAGAACTCTGTCAATAGTTGGCAATCCATCTCCACGGAACATGGAAACATTTACTTCTGTTACCAGTAAGATCAGGAAGTTACATTGGTGCGGAGAGCTTTGATCAAACCGAATGGGAAACTACGGCCGCGCTCGGTATCGGGGTAGGGGGGCACGAAGCAGGGGAGAGGGGAAGGGAAGCAACAACAAAAGAAAACTGTTGTGCTTCTTTGAAACTATTCGAATGGTTTGAGGCAACGCAGAGCAAAACCACAATAAATTCCCAAGGCGTAGCCTGACCGTGGCAAAGGAGATGAAAGATTCTGAGCATTTAAAAATTCCAGTTGAATGTTTCCCACTAGAAATCACACAGTGCCAGTTTAGAAACGTTAACTAACTTAACCACTTCAGCACTACAACCTGACCACATCACATCAGGGCAGTAGCAGTTGGCTGGGAAATAGTGCCTGTGCCCAGCTCTATGTTTATTTTACAGCTTATTTCTTAGGATTAACTTCTCAAAACTCCACCACCCCTGGCTGACGCTCTGTTCTGCTTAAAAGGTGGGGTGTGCAGGTTTGCCTAGTAACTGCAAAGTGACTAAAAGGCTTCCTTCCCTACCCCAGGGTGCTGGTGTACTGTTACAGAGTGTCAGGCTTTTCAGTTAAATCAGAGTTTTGGTGGGAGCTCCCGCAGGGCTCTGCCAGGTTGCTTCGTTCTTGACATTGACAATAACAAGACTGAGCGAGTCTGTATTCTTGTGGCACTCGCGTGGCATTTCCTACAAGGCGCGTTGCTATTTCTGATACTCTTTCCGATCATTAACTTTAGCTCCAGGCTGCTGCAGTAGACTGCATTTATGAAGTTCAGCTTTTGTCAACTGAGGCACAATCTAAGGCTCTGCATGTTTGTTTAGGTCTCAGACACGTGACATCACTGAACGAAAGGAATGCTCTGCTAGTGTTTTGTAAGATGTAACTGCTGTCCTCTAGAACACAACAAGGGCAGAGAAAATGTAACCAAGATGATCTCAGCACGTTAGGAATGTAAACGTGTTATTCTATGAACAGTGCTTGCTCTGTAGGAAGGAAATGTTCAGTAAAAGCTGTGCTGTTTAACATACAGATTGGAGGAGGTAGAGGAAGGGGAAAATATTGCAATATTGCTCTCATCCTCTTGCAGCCCATGAAATAAATAGCCATGCTTAAATAAAACAGTGTCTTGTTTGGTTTTATAACTCTTGGGCAAACAAAATTTGGCCCTGCAAGTCCTTTTCTACGATTATTTTCTTTCCCAGACTCTTCAGGCATTTTTATTTGCTTTTCAATGCCATGAAGTACTGACTACATGCTGTAAATAATGACATCAAGTAAACGTGTCTGTCATGGTTTTGAAGAGTTCAATCTATCTATGTAACAGTTACGGTATAAAAAACCCCCTGCGTTCAGAGAAATAGTTCTAGCTCTAGTTCAAATGAAAATGGTTCTTTGGCTTAGAAAGCAAACGTAGGCAATGCTACATAGTGTGGCATTTAATTTCCCACACACCCGTTTCTCAGCCTGAGCTCCCGCTTGGACACGGGCTAAGTCATGGAGCGACTGCTCCGGCCCTCTCAGCTCCGGCACTCCGAGGGACCCCGGTGCACTCGCTGATGAGGGGCCTTCATTCTTCAAAGCCATTATACGTGCTGGATACACTTTAAGAAACACTCAGGCATCAAGTGCCTTACACTGACCTCCTCTGAGACTTTGCTGACTTAATTAATTGGGGAAAGCCTTCGCAAAATAAATAGAGATAAGCTTTGGCAAACCTCCAGACCTGGAGCGGGATGAATAGCTAACCTTGCGCTCGTTACTGCTCCTATCTGCACGGCTGCCCGGCTCTATCTGTGTGAGCCCGCTGCAGGGGACCACGACTGCTTGCTCCTGCAGTGGGATGCAGATTTGCTGCCTCATTTAGGGGCAAGTCTAACTAAGGCTCCTGCAGAAAATTAAGGGAACTGGGCTCTCCCAGAGGATAGGTTACAGCACCTACTTTGGGTTCTGACCTGCTGCCGAGGGAGGAGCTCGCTAACCTCAGCAGTGCCTGAGTCAGGCCCTGTGAGAGCACTTAGCACGGGCCCAGCTTGGTCCTACCAGGGAGCCTTTTCAGAAGCTTGTAGGCTACATCAGCAGCTTCTTCCATGAGCTCTCAGGGGGGTCAGCAGCCCTGGTGATATGTAAGCAAGTTTTAGAGGAGTTTTCTGGTGTCCCCAGCACAAATACAGACTATTCCAACTACACGTCTGGTTCTGTGCATGGCCATGTCTTCATAAGGAACTGAAATGACACAAAGACAACAGGGCAGATGCAGCATCACTTCACATGTGTAATTCTGGTGCACCAACAGAGAGTGTGCGTGCACCTAAGACTACTGGGTCCTGTAAAAGCATGGCAAATGAGGAGACCTGGCAGGGCACAGTTAATCCAGGCACCTGGTCTGCGACACACTCAGCACCGCTTTTCAACCAAGCTCTTGCAGACCCAACTGACGGAAAACCAGTCCCCAAAGCAAACCCCTCATACTGTGGCATTTATTGGATACGACCTTGAGAGCAATCACAGCCTGACAGGCAGCAGGTAACTCCCGTGTGAGCCTGTGCCGTTGCACATGAGATGCTCTGTGCACCATGCAGGGCTGCAGAGTCGCTCGTCCGGTGCAGTCGGCAGCAAAATACCGCTTCTGTTTTGTGTCAGCCGCGAAGAGACACGCAGCCCAGCCAGAGCTCTCAGCCCTGCCAGGTTTGACTGATTTTGTCTAAACGTTCCTTTGCTCAGCACCAACCTGTTTGTTCCCCTGGTAATTATCTCCCCTTGCAATGCCTTTGGTAATGTGTCCTTACCTCTGGAAAATTGATCATGTTCACTACAATGAGCTGCGGCGACTTCTGTGAGATCTGCCCCAGCTGGTTCAGCGGAAACTTCCCATCTTTTGTCATCACGATTATGTGATCAAGGGCCCCTCAAAAGAACCAAACACAGGGGAGTTTCAGTATGATACAGCAGTTCACAGCGATGCTGAAGAAAAACGCGTACGCAGTGTCCTACTTCCCTTTCTGGTATGCAAAATATAGACGTTACAAAAGAAAAAAAACATGTTTATTCTGACTTCAGGTGCTGTTTGTGTTCATGCATCCCCTGTGGTATTTGCAAGCTAAATATTTCAATGCTACTCTAAAGCACAAAAACATGAAAACAAAACTCTCGTTTGTTTTTGTTACTAGAATAGGAAAACTAAGCAAGATTGTTAAGAATCAAGAGGAAATAATTATTTTTTTAACTCTTAGAACTTAAAGAAAATCAAAATGTTATAAAAATCAAGACAACAATTGCCTTTAACTTAGCACTGTTCTCTTAAACCCCTCACTTTTTTTCCCAAGTCCCAAGAGGAGGTGTTATACACTGCCTAATTTAAAGTATTCAGTTTCTCCCTGAGCTACTCCTAATCTGCTCTCTAGTTTCTGCTGCAAAATGTTAACAGGCCAAAAGGCACATGGGACAAGAGGTACTTTATCAGTGCAATTAAAAAAAATACCTATGGTTAAAATAAATAGTTAGACTGAGCTACACTTTCCAACGCCATTAAAGACTGAAGTGCCCCTGCCAGAGCTGGGGTGGTGAATGATTCAAATTTGGTCATTGTTTAATGTTAAATTTTATCCCTGAAACTTGATATTACTTGCAAATACGTATGTTCAGAGTGTTATAGTAACTGTAGCTTAGTCAAACGTGTTCACATTTCTTCCTAAACCACAAAATTCACTAAGTGAACAAGGTTTGTAAAGGTCACTAACCACAAAGATGCACAGCCAAAAAAGTTTGTATATGCCAGACACCAGTCTGATGGCAATTTCCAAAAGGCTAATTTAATGGCAATTGGATTTTTCCTGCCCTACTGCACCATTAACTGACAACCTGCTGCTTCATCACATCTGCAAACAGTTCAGTTAGCCACTTTTGACATCTCCCACTTACAAAAGCTATTTCCAGGAAGCTATTAACAAAAATGGATTCTTCCTGGTCAAGCTCCGGGTGAAGAGAGCCTTTAGTTGGGGACATCAAGGTTGTAGTAATTGGGTGCCCAGTGAGTAACTCAATAGAAAGAAAATCAATTTTGAAAAAATCCGAGTTCTCTGTTACTAGGATTACTATCCTTATTTACAGGCAATAGAGCATCACTCAAGAAAGTTACCAACCTGGTGAGGTTCTAACACTGAGATTTCTGCTGAAATCTTCTCTCAGAGCTTCTACCACTGCCCGCATGTCTTCATTGGTTTCCTCCAAATTGATAATATCCTCAACTAGGGCAGCACTGACATTCACTCTGGCTTGACTCTGCCCTTTACCTTTAGCTGCAGATTACACAAAAAATTAATTTCTATTTCTGACAACCGTTAGCTGTTGCATTAGAAAGTAGAAAGAAGATAGTAAACCCCCCGTTAGATTCAGAATTGAGTCTAAGATAAACCGAAGTAACCGTATTTTTTAATGATAAAATAGCCCAGCACTTGAGTACATAAGCCAGAATACATTTGTAGGTCAGGCAGTGTGCACTGACGCCAGCCTGGACTGTGACAATTGCTACCTACTGCCCCAGCGGAGCAGCAGCTCCATGCAGTACCTCTCCTGCGGTTTCTGCACGCAGGGCTAAGGTTTCCTTACACTGCAACACCGTCAGGCAAACCAGCTCCTCCAGAGCTGTGTTCTGCCCAAGTTAGATCAATACTGGTACATGAGATAAAAGGAGTAAGAAAAGAAACTCTGGCAACACACTGAGGAGTTGCAAACACCAGGAAAAAGGCTGCCGCCTTTACCTTTTTTGGTAGCTAGCTGTCTGGTCAGCAGCATCTGACGGACACACTGCCTGCAGCCATCCAGGAGCAGGGCTGGGCAGCCTGCAGGAGCCTGCGGTAGCCCCCTTACCATTGTGAACGAAGACCGATAAAGCAGGGAAGGCAGATGACGGAAGCATCTTAGCACCACAGCCATCATTTACAGCTCTTCTCTAACTCACCTGGAAAACAGAAAAGGCAGGTGGTCCACCCAGTGTGCTAACAAGAAACAGATTCAGGGCTTAGTTGTACCGATCAGGGCATGGGTGAACTGTCAGTCCAGCAATATGGGACCAACAGGTAAATTTAGTGGAACGGGCTCGGTG